ATGTTCTAAACACAGTACACAAATTTTGCAAATTTAAAAAAACTTTGCATTAATTTTAAAAGTTTTTAAATTTTGCATTATTTTCTGGTTTGTCAAGATGGTAGGGATAGTGTTGAGTGCAGTGGAGTAAATTGGATAGAGATGGACTTTCAGTTGGAGTGAAAGTGAAGGTCTTAAAGAGTTAGACGTTGGACTATTGCTTTAGTTAAAGGTGTTCAGGTACAATATTTCTAGTGTTTATTAAAAATGGATCTAAAAACATTGTGTATAAAAAAGAGTTGCCAAGAGTAGTCTTACTAGACTAAGGGAGAAAATTCTGGGGAATGTTGAAGATTCTGATAGTGTGCAAATAGATCTATACAGTTCGAAATTGGGTGCAATTGCTAATGACTTAAAAGGAAGTCTTTGATAGACTGTTTGATATTTGTAAGGAGGATGAAAGAGAACAATATATTGAGGAAAGTGAAATAGCACATGATTCGATTGATGAGTTGATATTAGTGATAGATAGAACAAATCTAAAATTGAAAAATAGTACAGCTCTCCCTTGATAGTCCATGTTTTTTAATCCGACATGCTCAGTAGTTTGACACACCTCCCGACAAGGTACCCGTCCCCGTTACATGTCTGCTTGCACAGAAGCATGTCGCGATGTGAATCTCCCCATCCAATTCTTACACGATGACACACATTTCATGTGTTTTCTGTGAGCAGTTCTGTTCTAACAGTTGGAGTAGGGAATATTGTAAGCTACTGCTAGCAAAACAATGCAAAATATGTAATTATTTTCGGTAGTCTGGACACTTTTGGTAATCCAACACCCCTTTGGTCCCATACCTGTCGGACTATTAAGGGAGAGCTGTAATAGTATCTCCAGTGCTGATAAAGCTAGTGAAATCTCAGATTTAAAATTACCTAAATTGACATTGTCTTCATTTAGTGGCAGTTTTGAGGAATGGCAGCCATTCAGTGACCTGTTTCAAGCAGCTATTATAAACAATGGAAAATTGTCAGGTGCTCAGAAACTACAGTATCTAAAGTGTTCATTAAGAGAAGCTTTAAAAATCATACAATCCGTATCCATTTGTGATTGAAATTGCATTTAAACTACTTTTCCAACTGTATTCTTGGAAAAGAGAATTGGTAGCTTCGTTAATTAAGAATATATTGAGTTTGCCAACATTAAAATATGAAAATGTGGTACAGATTTTAATAATTCAACTCCCCTAAAGCCTCAAATTTTGGTGGATTGTGGGAAACAGGGATTAAATCTTTCAAGTATCACTTAAAAAGAGTTGTAGATGGTACAATCTTGACATTGGAAGAGTTTCTCACCATCACCAATCAAATCGAGGGAATTTTAAACAATCTTGAGGTATTAACACCAGCTCGTTTTCTTATAGGTAGACCAATTGACACTATACCAGACATTGATCTCAAATATCTATCAGAGAACAGATTTTCACGTTGGCAACATGTAACAGAAATGACTCAAATCATTTGGAAATGATCGACTAATACATACTTAAATAATTTACAACAACAGAGTAAATGGATGATTGAGAGAGATAATATTAAAATAGGGACATTAGTCATTATCAAGGAAGATAATATACCTATCTTTAAGTGGTTAGTGAGAAGAATTACAGAAGTTTTTCCAGGCTCTATGGTAAAGTAAGAGTTGTAAGTGTTAGTGTTGCTCGTTTGTGGAGAAAATAAATTTCGAATACATTTTTGTTGTTATAAAAAATTTGTGTACTTTGTTTAGAATGTGTAAATGGGAACATTTAAAACATTTTACAGATTTTAGTTCTTTAAAATATACAACAAAACCAATAATGGAAAATTTATTTAACTATTTTCTTGCTCAGTCTGCCCAAGCTAGAGAATTATTTAGTAAAACATGAATTGAAAAATTTCAGAATAATAATTTATACATGTAGTTTGGTTATTTGTAATGTCAATATTTTATGATGGAATAGATTTTTTGAAAATTATTCTTATCCTACATTAATTCCAAATTGTAGTTTTTTTTTTTTTTTTAAGATTGCTCCTTGTTGTTTTAACATTTAATTCAAAATTAAATTCTAAAATTTAAATTAACTTAGAATTTATTAAAAAAAATTATTTAGGTATTTTTTTTAAAATAAAAATATTCCTATCATTCATACATATCTTGTTTTTTTACAGAAGAAAATCTTTGGAAGATTCTGAATATAGTACAACAAAACTATGGAATCTAAAATAAGATGCAGAATATCTGTAAGGAATTGCATCCTTATATGCAATTTATAAACTTCTAGTAGTACCCATCAGTGGCCAAGTGGTCTTCGTATCCCAAACACTGGGATACGAAGTGTTCCCAGTGTTTGGGATACAAACACTGGGGTCCAAGCAGGGCACAAACCTACGAGTTCAGTCGTAGGTTTGTGCCCTGCTTGGACGGGCTGGCCATGTGGAGTTTTATGGATTTTCTCCATGTCTGTAATGCCTAAATAAGGGCCAGTTTCCGTTATAAAAGACCTCCCGGAAGGCATCCTCCTAGGCAGATCACCCAAGTGTTGCATTGCCATAATAAACAAACAAACATCAAGTAGTACAAAATTCTTTTATTCAATCATTCATAATTTACACTTCAAAGAATCTGTGTTGGAATACTATAGAATTGGTAAAATTAATAGAATATGCAATATTTATATAAAACAAATTTTGATGGAGAGTCACAAATTTATAAAGGGAAATAAAGATAATAGTTGTGTAGGAGGAAATAAAATAAGCAAATACTGTAATGTTTCAACTCTGAATACTCAAAGGACATGGCTAAACTCTTCCAGTTGTCAGACTCGCTGTAGGAAAATCTTTGCCAAGTTTTCATATGATTTTATATTGGAACAAGTTGAGTAACGATTTAAGAGAAGTGTCAAGTTATAGAGTCTACAAAAATGTAAAAAATCGGTTTGTTATAATTATTGTTGTTAACTAATGATTTAATTTTTTTGTTTTCAATTGTTTGACACTTGTAAAAGACCCAACAGCCACAATGTCTTTTTTCAAATAAATAAAAACAAAAAACTTGTAATCACTCATTTTTTATCTGTTTCATCAAATGTGTTTAATAATTTTTAACAAAAATTCCTATTTTATCTTTTAAAAAAAATAAAGCTCATTAAAATAGTACCATATATAAACTTACTGTATACACGTGTGATATAATTCTTCAACTGAGAAATACTTAAGTCTTGAATTTTTTTATTCCAATACAGGTATACCTCGACTTATGTCATTTCGAGTTACGTCGTTCCCGATTATATGTCATTTGTCAAAAAAGTATATGGAAAAATAAAAATCAAGTTTAAGTAATTTTATTCGACTTTACATCTATCCGCCACAAATATTGAAAGTCGTAATATCACTAGAAAAGCACTTAAAGCACATAAAATCATATTAAAATATATACATTTACAAGTATGTACTGTATTTACAGTACATGCATTTGTAAATTTAGATTACTTTTTTCTATACAATATATACACATCTATTGCAATTCAGTTTCTTTTTCTGTTGATATATCAAAAAAATTATTAATTAAGAATTTTTATTATCTTCCATTGTGCTATCTAACTGCATACATACTGTTTTCTTTCTGAGTCAGGGATTTACAATTGAATTATTTATCTGGAAAAATTTTCATTCCCTTTAAGCAATGCATTGTTTTGCATTACCTTCCTTCTTCAACAGATTGTTCTTTTCTATAACCACATGCTTCCTTCAGCTAATCCATTTTTCATTATTCCACTCTCCACAAGTGCACAAACTCCACTGCCTTGTGTATTAATAAATGATTCCACAGTGAGAATGTTGTTGTTGCATTACCTGGAAGTGAAAAAATGCTTTGTTTCCAGGTTAGAGATTTTGTTCAATAGAATATTTTTAACATAAAAATCCTGTATTTCTAGCCAGTGGAAACAAAATTTCCTTAACAAGATTTCTGTTGAATGGAGTGTCCATTATATGACAGTGTTGTATTGGTTGCATCACATTTTCTATGTTGATTTTTAGAAAAGAAAATATTCTTCACAGTATACAATACACCTGGCTCACAAGATACATCCTGATTTAGGCTGTATATCAAATTGCAGACTTATACATTCTCACTGTCTTCGGTCTGTCTGTCTGTTCTTTGTTAATCTTGAGAACAGAGATAAAATTTGGACCAGGTACGAAAAGTTTTTTAAAATTATAATACAATTAAAAATTGCAGACTGACATTGTGATACTATCACAATAAGTAATTGTTCATGTGTCAAGATAAATTTATACATCTTACTAGGCAACAAAATATGGTAATTAATGTAATTAGCAATTCAATTTCTATGCATGATTAAGCTGATACCTTCCCTATCTTGGCCATCTATCTGAAAAACTAATTTAATCAAGTTAAATTATTAACTTAAGTTTTATTAATGTTACAATTTTCAAGTTCTTTCAGAAGGAACTGTTGATACTTATTAGATAACCATTTTAAAAATAGTAAACCCTTCATTTAACAAATTAATTGGAGGAAGGGGTAACTGCTATTGCCAAAAGTATGTTAAATCCAATGAATTATTGATGTGTTTTTAAAACAAGTCATGTGTATTTTCTTATTGTGTGAATAAAATTTATGCTGAATGATGTTTACTGATTGACTCACTGATCCAACCTTTTCACATGAAAAAAAAGTTTTAAATTTTTTCCTATGGGACAAAAATTTTTGTCCATTAAATTGACTGTATTTAAAAAACTTATACATGTATAGGTTATCTGGAAATCTGAAAAACTGAGTAAACTATTTTATATTTGCAACTCGATATTTAATTTTACTGTTTTCATTGTTTATATCAGAATTCATATACTGGTACTCTGTTCTAATGTTCCTTATATTATAATTTAGTTTTTTTTATTTTTTATTTTTGCAATGTGTATAATTTTTAATAAAAGATATAACATATAAAACAAGAGATGTTTAAATATTTAATTTCTACTCCACAATGTACAATGATGGCTTACTTTCTTCTTCATTACTTAACAATTGTCAATCCTTTGAAAAATTCAACCATATCGATGATATCTTCTTGAACAGAAGTCCCTAATTGGCGAATTAGTTCTGACAATGTCTTTTCTGCACACTTGGAAATATTTTTGGCTTCCAATCGACTCGAGATGGCATATACCACTTCATTAACTTCTTCGGCAATGGATTTTGAAAACATTACATTAAATATTGAAGAAAGATTCGAATACACATTCTTTTTAATTTGCTGATTACGACAAGCCAAATTCAAAATTAAAATTCCTATTGGAAAAGAAATATATTTTATTGAGTTGCATTTGGATCTTGAAAAAGACTTCTATACAAAATGGAAATAGATAAAATATTAGTACAGTGTGCTCAGAAAGTCTCTCCAGTGATTGTATGCTTTTAGTTCTGCATAAATCCATCATGTGAGATACTCTTGTTTTTGAAAAGAAGGCAAGAATAATTGTTTTGTGTCTGGAGAATGATAGGTTATGATGGTAGTATAACAGTATTAGTTTTCTGTTACATTTATATTATTAAAGCACTAAAATCATTGTGGAGGGACTTTCCAATCACTCTGTTATAAATGAATCAGTTCAATAATGCACAAATATAGCTTTTATGTATAGTTGTGATACTAGAAATTTATAAATATTTTTAAAGAAAATAAGATTATTAGATCACAACTAGGAGAGCTCTGCCATCCTGACTGTGGCAGCCCAACTTCCCACTTGTTTCCAATAGAAAAGGTGTACATATTGAAATTTTTATATCTGATTTTGAGCAAGGATTCTGTAACATAAATTCAGTCTGTTTCGAAATGTACAGTACCTCCACACTCAAATTAATTAGGAAAAAAAAATTTTTTATTCAAATCGCAAAAATTTTTCAGACTCCATTAAATCAAAGAATAACCTTCAGATTCTTGAACAAAAAAATGAATTTTTTAAAATTGGTTGAACATATGACTAACTTCTCACAAAAAAAGTTCCAATTCTGTGGTTGCATGGTTCTCTTTGCTTGTTTGCCCCACTTGTTTCAATACAGACTATTCATAATAATAATTTTGTGATGATCAACTCACTAAAGGCTAACCAATCACCACTCACACTTTGCTCAACCTTCCTTGGTCAATCCCAAACCTTGCTTTTGCTTGCTTGTTCAAAAATTTTGTGAGGGTTTGTCAATTTCCAGTGTCACTATTTCTATTTTATTTTTTGATGATGTTTTTAACCTAAGTATATATCTACTCTATATATATATATTCTTGAATCCCTCCATATTTTTAAAAAAAATCTTAGCTTGGTGCTTCTATAAATTGGATTTCAATCAGTGATGTTTCTCTAAACATCTCATTTCACTCCTAGACACATTTCCAAGAAACCACATATTTACCAAACAGGATTGAAAATGAATAAAACTTTTATTTCATTATTGAACCTGTCTCATAAATGATTTCCAAATTCAACTCATATTACATATGATTCTATATTGCCTGGACCACTTCCATTCCTGTCTATACGAGATAACTGAACATGATGCATATGAAATAAATGATTATTTGTAAGTTATATCATTAGATTTACAATTTATGGAAAATTATGTTAGAGATTTTTTAAATTTTAAATAATTATTTCCAATGAGATACCTACCTTTTGAATCAATCAATTTCCTGATTTGTTGTAGGAAATGTTCTTGAACAAAAGATAATGGTGGACAACTTATACCAGCACTGGTATCCTTGTTATCAACATCTAACATCACTATGTCATATTTTTCTTCTGCAAAAATTATTACATGTCAAATTTTCAATAAATATTTAAGAATTATATTATTAACTAACCTCTCTGGGCACAGTTATTAATAAAGTCTATTCCATCAGCAATATGAACTTTCAGCTTTTCACTTAGTTCTAATCCAAACCACTCGACTGCAATTTTTAAAATTTCTTCATCTAATTCGACAACATCTATATAAATCTGAAATTAGGAAATTATCCTGATTTAACAATTTATAATACAAATCAAAACATTTCTATAAAATAATTAACTGATAATATTTTACAGTTTATTATTAACTCTTGATATATATAAATATTTGAATGCTATTTCTAGGTATCAGGAAGATTTGATGCTATCCCAGCACACTAGTTGGTTGCAAAGGTTAATGTATCAAACAGCCATTTCAATTTCTTGATGCATTTCAGTTTCTTCATTTTGGAAACCTCCTTGGCCAAGGAAATAACAGATTAGGATCCTCTTGTACCTGGAGAATCCTAATCTGACATATTATTGTCTGAGGCAGACCATAATGCAAACTACTGACCCTGCTCAGGATTGGACTGGACAATCCCCTTAAAAGTGAAGGACACAGACTCCCAGACAATTTTTTGAAGTCTCTTGACCAAGTTGGAAGATGTGTGCGTGATTAGGTCTAGACTCAAACAGCAGCCATCCAATCATTTGAAACCAGCATCAAGAGCTGACAGATTCTACAGATGATCTCGCCAAAGTGGCCCATCTCCAAGTAAAGGAAACTGTGCTCAAAGAAAGACCATAAGGTGGCTTTTGAATGAACTTTGAATGAACACATTCTAACTGAAAAGGGAGAAAGAGAAGATCATTCAATTAGAAACAGTCAACCCTTATGTATGTCATTACTAATATTTGGCAACACTAGCATTTTGTAGATTTCAGTATGGTGGCACCCAGTTTACAAGTCTATGTGGTATTAAAAGATGAAAATACTGCAGGAAAAAATTAATTATTTGTATATCCAATACGGATACTTTATCTGCAAATTACAGTAATGTATTTTATAATGAATTAACCTAATAATTAAGTGAAAGTAAGACTTCAAGTTGTTTAATTCAAATTGAAGGTGAAACAGCTTAAACTAAGAGTAATTTAGATACAAAAGTTATGTAATGTTGGTCTCAGTTCTATACAATAACTTATTTATAATGTTTTCATGCATTGATTTCATGAAAATGAGTATATCATGTTGTGTTAAAGGTGTCAAGGTGTGTTAAAATGTTAAGTCTGTTATTAATATATGTTTTTAAAACATTTGATTAAATCAAGGGTTTACTGTATTGCCATTAACAGTATTATGGCAAGAATAAGATGTTTGTTTTGGGTGCAGTAATGTTAAAAGTGCAAAAAAATGCTTTTTAAAGACAAAAAATGCTTTTTAAAGACAAAAGTGGATTTTACATTCTGAAACTTAAATGTATATTTCAATAAATATTTTGTAAAATTAATAAAAATACTGTTTACTGTTACTCTGAGAGCTACAGAGAGAACTTGATAATCTAGAAACTCACTTTTGTATTTTGTGTACATCAAGCACTGTGCATTTAAAGTTTCACAAACAACAAATACTGTAGGCGACTACTGTACCTGAAGTTAAATTAATTTACTCAAAATCTAATGTAATGTTATACGAACAACCTAATTTTGTGATACTACAATTGTCAGATGACTTAGTGATTTCCAGTTACGTGGTGAGTTTGATCTCTGTGGTATGTACAGTACAACGCTACACATTCTGGGTTTCAATAAGATGTTTTAGATAATAGAGTTTCCACTATACATAGTGATAGTTTAATAGTTTACTCAAAGTACATAAAATCCTAGTTATGGCAATGATAACTGAACTGCCAAATTAGTTTGCCATTTATAATTAATTCATGATAAAAATAATCTATAACATAATATAAATAATGTCAAAATTTTTTAATTTTTTCAAGTTAATTATTGATAGAAGACTACCCGTAATTGCTTTTAAATTTAATTTAGACATTGTATATACTGAAATATCTTCTGTTTTCTGTATTTAATTGAGAACACACATATGTAAAAATTTTTTTTTAAAGTGTACAAATGTGCATATAAATGCATGTTACAATTTGAATAACTTATAGAAAAAAAATTTACTTACTTGCTAGATTAATATGTTTTATAAAATTGTTCTTTTTTATATTTAAATTAAATAAAAAAATTATTTAATAAATACCTGTTTTATGTGGCTTGTCATGAACATAGGCAATAAACCTCCTCCTAATCCAACCATTAAAACACGAATTTTTTCTAAAATAAAGATTTTAAAATCCAATTATTTAATACATATCTTATTTAAAAGTGTGATTCGAAAATTCATAATGTCACCTTACCAGTAATTTGAGACGAAAGAAATGATAAACCAGAAAACATGTAAATGTGGTGTTGACATGATAAATAATTGAAATCAATATTCTTCGTGACTTTACCTTTCTTTGTCTTCTTATTTTTCTTTACTATTTCTGAAATAAAACTTACAGCTTGCCATCTACAAACAATTTATATAAACTGAAATTTTTTTAATAATTAAAATATTATTTTCTTGGATACTAGTTGCCAGGCTTTATCCTTACAGACCAAATTGCTATTTTCAAAAGTAAATAAAAAGTTCTTGTTGAAGCCATAAATGATTAAAATATGTTTTAAAAATCAAAATCCATTCAGACTCGTTGTGTTAACTTCTAAAAATTCTACATTTGTTATAATTTGTTTATAAAATTTAACTTTTAAATTTTTAAAAATTTTTTATTTTGTTAATAAGAATATATTTTGAATATGCAATTTACCGATGGTTAATCGTGCTTCCGACTGAATCACATATTGATTCTGAAGAAACACGAGTCTCCGAAAAGTCTGTTTTCCTTCACCCTGAACATCTTCAATAATGTACTCTCCACTTAGTTCACTTTTACCATTATAACAAATCGTTCTATGTCCGATATCCGGACCAACAGACATGAATGGTACCTAAAAATATTAATATTTTAATTATATAAAGTAAATAATGATAAAGATTTAATAGTCTAATCTGACTATTTTATGTATAAAAAGTTGCAAAAATTAACAGCAAAATTTATACATTTTTAGAATTATAAAACACATTGTAGCTCCATAAATATAAAGTTATTTTCTTAGAGTTTGAAGCAAAAGATTCTCATGTTCAGAAATGCTACTATATTCTTGTGAAAATAAGAGCAAGCTCTAACAGGTGAAAATTTCTTGTTTTTGCAGTTTTGAAACATAGAACATGCTCTTGTGTTTACCAGCTTGTCTTGGCACTGTATTACCATGTCAATGTAAATTAAATGTAAATGTAACTATTTTGCAACATCTCTGAAGTAACCATTATTAAAAATAAAAAAATTATTCCAATACTGTAAAACTTTTTTAAAATAGCGAGTTTTTTAGATACTTCAGAATATATTGTCGATTTTGTATTCAAATTTCTACATTAATAATGATTGTAATGGATTAATAGTTTTAGATATTTCTTATATCTCACCTTNTTAAAATTTCTTCATCTAATTCGACAACATCTATATAAATCTGAAATTAGGAAATTATCCTGATTTAACAATTTATAATACAAATCAAAACATTTCTATAAAATAATTAACTGATAATATTTTACAGTTTATTATTAACTCTTGATATATATAAATATTTTTTCTTTATGAACTTTTCAAAGTTTTCTTCTAGATTATTGAAATAATTTTAAATTTAAAACATTTGGCAATGTTAAAAAAAAGGCAAAATGCTTATGTTCATGAACAATGCTTCTAGATAAAAATAATAAAGTACCGAATTACTTATTTTGTATATAATGCAAATATAGTGTATATTCTTGCATAGCTTTAATACTTTTAAGAACTTCATCACTAGTTTCTACTCGAATCAGCTCTCCATCCATATCTAATTCAATTAGCTGTAAAAAAAAAGTATAATAAAATATTTAATAAATTAAAAAAATTAAATGTGTAAAATAACCTTACTGATTTCATTGTTTTAGATGATTTCATTTTAGTGCAAATAACAAAAAATGTTGGAAATGCATAAGCTGAATTCGGTTCCTCGGGATCACGTTCAATTTCTGTACACTTGTGAATGCGAATCATCCAGCCCCTACAAAATCAATTCTTTTATATATTTCAAAAATAAATAAATAAAGAATTAAGTTATATTCAATAAAATAAATATGTGAATTAAGAACAATATGACAAAATAAAGAATACTTCTGGTAACAACTTTCATTCTTAATCTTTAAGTATATACATAACAAACCAATGCAATATCAAAATGGATAAAATTAATATAAAAACAAAAAATCTTTATAATCCAGCATTTAATTTTGGATAAACAGACTTTTTCAGCTCACTTAACTAGCCATCACCAGTTTGAATCACATGAAACTACAGGATTTTAGAACACGGCTGAAAATTTTTGGAATGTAGTATATATTCCAGTATATTTTTTAATGTTGTTATTAATACTGTTGTAATTTTTATTGTCACTGTTATAATCCTGTAGTTTCAATGCTAATATTTTATTATAGAACAGCTTAAATGTACTGTAATATATACTATGTTTGAATAATTTTCAACCAATGTTCTAGAATCCTGTATTAATGTGTGGTTCAAATCTGACAATGACTAGTTAAGCTAGCCAAATAAATTTGTTTATCCTAAATTAAATGCTGGATTGTAAAGACTTTGTTGTTATTTTTATTATTATATAATTTCAATAAAAATAGAATAATCTGATTAATGCAGTTGATTAGAATAGTTTTCTTTTAAAAAACATACTGATTATATCTTATTCATTTGTATTTTTATTTTGTTTTATAAGAAATATGCTATTTATGAAAAATGACCAACTTTTATCTTGTCTTAATTTATATAAATTTATTGTCATTTTTATAAATACAGTAATTACATTAAATTATATATGAAAAATATAATTTAATGTAATTACTGTATTTATTCAAATATAAGACACCATTGAGTCTAAGATGCATCTTAATTTCTATATATTCATCACAGACTTTTTAAAAATGGCAATTTGATGCAAATTTATTGTAAACTAAACTATATATTGATGTCTTCACAGAAACCTCTTCATTGTGTTAAGTTCTTCTGGATTTGACAAGCTGATTAACTTAGCTTTTAGTTTTTGTGGTAAACAAAATGAATAGTATTAGAGGGTATGATAATTATTTCATACTAAATTATATGCAAATATTCTATGTGGAAAATATTATTAAACAAAAAACACTGGAACATAGAAAATATAACTTAAATAATTTAAGTTATATAATATATAATTGAAAACAGAATTTTATATATATGTATAGGTAGTATGTATAATATAAGAATGAACTGTCCACTGTGGTTACTCAACTGAATTAATGCATCTTTTACAATGGGTAAAGTTTAAAGAACACTAACAGTAAAATGTTAGTGTTCTTTAAACTCCACCCATTGTTAGGGTGATTGGTCAAAAAATGACCCCCAAGAATTTTACATTTTTTGGACTTAGGACACCTTGAAACATTGTGAAATGCAAAAAAGTTTGAGGGTAATTTCCGTATGTATGGATGTTAATGTAGGGAGGGCACAATTTTGTTCATTCTCTTTGAAGCTTAATTAATACTACTTTTGTGCTTTTTGTCAAAAATTTCTGAAATTTTGCAGATAGGTTTATTTATTAGAGGGATTGGTGCTATTGAACTTTGGTGGTTAAAGGTCAAGGGAGTAGAGAGATAATGGGAGCCGTATGTATCTCCAGTAGGGTTGGACTTAATGAGAATTTTACTAGTTATTAGCATTTACAATTTTTTATAAAACTCATCCTCAAAATTAAGCTTTTTGCCATTTTATAATAGTTAAAAATATAAAAAGCTTTTAAAATTTTGGTCGCATATTTTATATAAGCTACCAAAATTTTAAATGTTACCAGGAAAATTGAGCAACTTGTTGCTGGTTTATTTGATCTAGTTAACAGACAATCTTTAGAAGTAGAGTTGAAAATGGAATGCCAGGGCATATGGACATTTTACTTTCAGCTGGAAAAAGTAAATTTTTATCTGATGAATTTATAAATTCAACTTACTCATTTGTGAACCAATTCAACATTTTCTTTAATATAAAATCTTGAAGAAGAGAAACACAAATGTAACGGCCACAAGGTCTCAAAACTCTCTTAATTTCAGAAAACATTGCTTCAGCTCGTCTGTTAACTTCTTCAGTGTCTTCGCTCAATAATGCATCCAAAGTTCCTTTATCCAATACAACACTAAATTCTTCATCATCAAATGTCATCTTTTCATGAAAAATTTAAAACTATAATTCATAATATGAATTAATACCAAAATATATTTTTATTTTGATTTAATATTATCAAATTTCTTTAGTCATAGTCTATTGTAATATCAAACAAACAGTCAGATTGTTTATAGAGCTGTAAGGCTAAATAATTACAGATCAATTTGGTAAGAAGCAGCCTATCGGCCATGTCATCTCTTCTTAAATATAATTAATGAATTAAATTTAAGAATATTTTAGAAAAGACCTGAACCAGAATGGGACTTGAACCTGCAACTCCTACTTACTGTGAAGATAGGTTGCCTGTCACACTATCCAGACTAATTTTATTATATTTAAGAAGAGACAGTGACCTGCCTCCTGCCAAATTATTTAGTAATTATTTAGCCTTATAGCCCAATAAAAAATCTGGCCATAATGTCACAAATGTGATATTATGGTCACAAATGTGATATTATGGTCACAAGTTATAAATATAGTCATAAGTTAATTTATTTGAATGTGTAAAACTGGAATTTGTTAATTATGACTAATACCTGAAGCATATCCATTTTTTTGAATTCTAGACCTTTCCTGCCAGGAACGTGCTTGTCATTCATCTGTTTGATAACAATGCTACTAATGTCAATATTAACATTATTGTGAAAACCAACATCATACAGGTCCACACTTAACTGTGAATTTCCACATCCAATGTTTAATAGCTTGTCTTTTGGACGAATGTACTTATGTAAAAGACCACAAAGCTGTGGATATTCTCCATACCTAAAAAAATATATAACACATAGAAAGTTAGTAACATTATATTGGTATTTACATGACATGAGGAGAAGTCAGTAATTATGTTAAAGATAGTTATGATAATACGATATATATACACGTGTGTGTATGAGGTGTTCAAAAAGTTCTCAGAAAGTAATTATTATTTGTAAACAGAATTTTACATTTATAATTAATTGATGCAAGCATAAACTTGTTAAGACTTCAATTAAAATGGCTAATGGTATTTATACATTAAAAATACTTGGAAGAAACTAAAATATTCTCATATGTTTATCTTGTCCAAGTACCAGAAACAATCAGCCCTCTGTTATGGGCTGTCTGTAAATTATGTCTGTATTTTCTTAAAAGTTTTACTCTCTTCCCTTGTCTGTTTCCATAACCTCTCAAAACCTTTATCACTTTAAAAATGATAGATACCATAAGTAGAAACAAAAAAATCTAGAAATGAGTTGCATAACTTTCCTGGCTTTTGAGATTTTATTTTAAAAATAACATTTGTAATGTGATGACTGTACATAGCATCATCTGTTATGAGATTTTGTTATAAAAACTTTATATATTTTTAACTATTATAAAACAGCAAAAGACTTAATTTTGAGGGTAGAGATAAGTTTTATAAAACACTGTAAATGCTAATAAGTAAAATCTTTATTAAGTCTGACTCTTNTGGCACTGTATTACCATGTCAATGTAAATTAAATGTAAATGTAACTATTTTGCAACATCTCTGAAGTAACCATTATTAAAAATAAAAAAATTATTCCAATACTGTAAAACTTTTTTAAAATAGCGAGTTTTTTAGATACTTCAGAATATATTGTCGATTTTGTATTCAAATTTCTACATTAATAATGATTGTAATGGATTAATAGTTTTAGATATTTCTTATATCTCACCTTTTTTTTTATTGTAAGTGTGGATTTTAAATATATGCAGACTAGACATTGGTCTGCTATAGGATCCTAGCCAATACTGGATCAATACTGAGTGTCTTGATGTGCATGTTGACACTCAGACTTGATCCTAGATCTTCTATAATATCACACATTATCTGATACAAATCTTTATATAATATAAAGTTATATAAAGGGTCTCATAAGTCTGTGCTTGTCAAGTGTCTCACACTCACACAATGTAAAACTGCCATTAAATTCAGTATTGTATAAATACAGTAAATCCCTACTATCTCAGACTAATAGGGGGGGTGAAGGTTGTCCAAGTTAGAAGGATATTTTCTCCAATGACCAAAGGATTTTTGAGATACCTTGTATCTAACTCTTAAATGTAGATTTTTTCCACATAAATTTTATTTAACTTTTATATAAAAAGTTTTTGAACAAAGTCAAAAACATTATTCACTCACCTTTACATTCTTTGTAAAATCACTCTGTGCAAATTCCATTACTTTAGAAGACAATTCCCTTTTAACTTCATCCAGATTAGTATAATTATGATTTCGATTCAAATGAACAACAACCAATCTTTCACATCCTGCATTTTCAATTAACTGCTTTCTACCAGCCGTAGTTGCAAACATCCACTCCATTTCTCTACAGACCATAAGAAAATCATCATCATATAAGAAAAATTTCATTTATTTATTTAAAAATTGATACATTACCTGCCTTGAGGAACTATGAAGACTGCAAACTTTACGGGTGCATATGATTTTTGATCAATAATATAAAATACATAACGTGGATTTGGATTTTTTGAATCGTACAATTCTAGATTAACGTCTTCGTCCACAAATTTTCTAAGATTAAAAAATTAGAAAATAAAGATTTATATGTATTTATTATTTATAAAACTTTTAACAAAAATTATTTTTTCTATGTTAATTTTTTCATATTGATATAGCAAGTAATTGTAATTAAAGTATCTCTATTCAATGCTATTTAGAGAGATATATATCGATCCAAATGCAAACAAATCTAGTACAATTATATCTCAGAGTATGCAGAACACATTTCTACATACTCTGAGATATAATTGTAAAAAATCAGTACCAAAACTCAGCACTATGGCTCTTTTGGTCATACAGGCAATGCAGTGCAAAAATGCCATAAAGGAATCCACTTAAAGTGTAGTTTATCAAGGGCATGTTGCAAATTTGGCAGCCTGATAGACAGTATCATACTGCGTTTAGGAAGCATTACAGAAAATCTATGATGCTTCTCACAATTATGGCCATCTGTTGAACATACTGTTCATTACTTTCAGATTTTACATCTTTGGAGAAGAGACCACACAGAGCAGTATATCTCCTGCATTGCTAAGGTCTCTATATAGCAAGAGTGTCTTGTGCAAATAAATTGTTTGTTGCTTGCAGTGCCAAAAGTGCCATAGTTGGCAACTTTGATACTAATTTTTTTTTTACAGAAATGACTTTCACATACCCAGAAATGTTACTATACTAGATTTGATTGTATTTGGGCTGCTAAATGTATAGTTATAATAAACTTTCACTTTAGATTACCTGTAAAAATCATAAAAAGAGGATATATTCCAATAAATATATTGAAAGTATTATTTAAATGATAAGAGTAAGCTTTGTTCATACATAATTAATATATTTTTCTAGTATATTGTATCATTGTTCGAGAAGTACTATGGCATAATACTTACTACAATGTAATACAATATACATTGCATTCAATTATTGTAAAGTTGAAAATAAAGTTTGAAAAGTAAATCAAGGTATAAAAACATTGAGAGCAAGTAAAATGGCAAGGCCGATTTTTGGGACAAGACTATGTCTCAGAGACTCAGGGCTTGATACGATCATTCAAACTTCACTGACCTCAGCCACGAAAAAGGCTCATGGACGACTCCATGAGCCATTTTCGGTTAAATTTACCTACCCAATGTTGAAATTTCTGCCTGTTGCATGTCGCCCCGGATGGAATTTTTACTGATGCCTAATGTAAATTTCCTGTTTTTGAATAAAATAATTGTGGCTATTGTACCATCTGAAATTATTTTTTTATTTTGCACAAACAAAATAAATATGTTAGTAAATGTAAAAACAAAACAATTATATTTTGGAAGTTACTTTTAATATAAAATTATAACAATTAGCGCCATCTAATTTCAAAAACATTCTGATACTGAAACGAAATATCCTGGGTCAAGTGGTCAAGGTCAGCAGGTCACAACCAGAGAAGTAAATGTGTTTTTTCAAAGATTTGTTTGTCAAAATTCAATTTCACAATGTTCAGATTTCCAACTTCCCAACGATTTGCATGTGCAAATCTTGCACTCTTGCCTGTTTGTAGAAAAATGTTGCCATTTTGTATTTTATTTTGACTCGGTTCTTGGTTCCCAGAGTACCTACAAGTCTGATTTTTTTGTGTGTGCATGATTTGGGCACCTAATACTCTGTGCCAAATTGCAACTCCAGACATGTTTCCCTTATAACTCTAAGGTGTGCACTCGTAATGGCACCACGATTTTATAAACAAGATAGTCTTGTCAAAAAATTATGCCATATATTATTATAATGTTTTGGAAAAAAAGAATCAGCCCGGAGCAGGGCTGAACCAGTAATTCCTGCTTATCGTATAGATGCATTGCCAGTTATAAGAGTATTACTCAGATTTCCATTCAATCTTCATTTTTAGAACTATTTGTTCATTTAAATATAACTGTAATCGTCAGTTACACACTATACAGCAGAACTAGCAAAACCTGGTATCAGAGAGGAACCATATATTGCATATCAGAAATACAAGAGCCACATTCTCTATTGAAGCTTTATTTTATATAATGGATATGTATTCCTATATATTTAATTACAATAATTAAATATNTTTTAGATAATTTAATAATTTTTATAATTCTATATCCTTATTTTAGCCATGCAAACTACTCGGATAAGTAAAGATACAGCTACGAACTCACAGAGTTAATAGGTTAAAGTGAACGAATTATGAATGTTTTTTAAGATTAAGTTCGTTTATTATTATTTTAAATTGAGTTAATTTGAAAAAAAAAATAGCGAATAAGCTTAAAATATCTAAAATTTAGGTCGGAATTTTTCTGTATAAATTTTTAAAATCGTCAACGAAGCTAGAACCGTGCGATGTGGTGGAGTAAAATATTCGGTCTATGAAATTTACAAGAGGAAAAAAAAGACTTATAATTCGAATTTATAATAAAAATATGTATTTAAATAATCCTGAATAATGAATGATTATTTTAACATCCTATTTTGTACTAGAAACGAAAGATCAAACCTTGAACTTTGGAAGAAGGTAAGTAAAATGCCAAGTCGATGTGAACAGATAAGATTTACCAATGGAATTTTTATCTACACAGCTATAAAAATATTTATATATTAACATATTACTAATATATATATACTGTATATATTTTTAATATATGAAATAATTCTATACATTTTTATAAAAATTAAGCCAGTTTACTACGCGTATTAACAGACACGGGGTGGCTCAAAAATCGGTTAACCATTGTAAAAACTAAATTTCTGTCTTATTCAAATACTTAAGCGAGACATAAATAGCTAGAGTAGACCTCCCCCCAAAAAAAACACGAAGTTAACTGACTTTTGGGCAATCCTGTAAAAAAATATGTGTATATATATATATATATATTAATAGTTAAATTCGATGTCTCTCTCTTCACACGTCTTCTCCCCGCCAGTTTATAAATTTTAAAATACAAATAAATAAAATTAATTATTAAATTTGATAATAAAAAAATCTATTTTAATAATTCGTAAATGTTTCTAAATTAATTTTATTTATTCTTCTTCTTCTTTTTTTTTAATATATAAAGAAGCATTAATGAATAATGTGACTAACAAAGCTAAAGTATAATTTTGCAATCAACTGACTTTTGGGCCACCTTATGATCAAACCCATACGATGGCCCAAAAGTCAGTTGATCGCAGATTTCTACATAGTTTATGTACAGTGCGAGCGTAGATATTTTACGTGCACATGCAGGGTGGCCTAAAA